CCTGGGTTCCCAGCTTTCGTTTGATATGCATTAAGCCATAGTTGAAATATTTTCTATTTGTGGAGGTCATTAGAGGTCATTAGAGGTCATTAGAGGTCATTATAGTTCAATTTTATTTTATTAAAGGAATTTCGAACCCTAGTTAGGCGTGCACCCAAAAAATTGGAAGATTTGAACCAAAAATGAAGGCAGGGCCCCCCCCCCCTACATCAAATGTGCCAACTCCACCATCCCCTTTTTAATTTTCTTACAATAATTGGTCCTTAAACGGACTATAACATTTACGTTTCCAAGTCGCTAAAGTTTGATTTTTTCAATTAAAAATACCTAAAATAATGATTCGATACTAGAAAAAGGTACAGTTAAAAATTGGGTATATTATTAGGATGAATAGGATAGTAGTATTACGAAGAGAAAATGCATAGTATACAAACATAATATTGTGTTAAAAGTTAAATCGTGCGACACATTAACATTGGAACTGAGACGTTTTGAATATCGTCTTTGATTTTGCCGATATTTTTGATAAATGACATTAAGTGCATCAACTAAGATTAAAAATCTAATGAGCTTTCAAAAAAGTGTTCTACTTCTTTAAATCTTTAAATCTTTAAAATTGACAGAGATATTTAAAATTTGAACAGTTCTGCTAATTTCTAATTATCTGAAATCTGGATAAATTTACTAATATCTGCGTAAATTTTTGGAAACTAAAAAACAATGTTTAAAAAATAATCACGAGTGGAACAAAGCCGATATAGAAGTCGTAGGTCAGTTTCCATTTCATTGGGACACTCTGACACTCTGACACAAAGGGCCAGGTTAAAGTTTCACTCAACTTAAAGTTTACATGTTTCGGAAAAAAATATTTTGGCATTGATTATAAATATGAATTCTTCAGGCAGCACAAAAATGTCCTGCATTAGAATTTGTTCTAAAATTAAATCAAGGCCGACAAAAAGCAATTTTTTCCGTTTCAGAATTCGGGATTAGGATACCATGGATATGTGTGGCTCAGATGATATCCTTCCAATTCTGAAGCACGGCTATTGAATCATAGGGCTCATAGCACAATCGTATCAGGATTTAATCATAGTTCTTAATAAACCCTAGTTCCTCCGATTCCTCCGATCCCACCTTTTAAGATAAAGATGTATAGTAGGTATAACTCTTAGAACAATATAATTTATGATAAAACACAATAATTCGACTCCCAAGGAAACAAATCAAGTTTAAATGGATGAGTGACGATTATTCTTAGAACATGGCGGCGTCTATGAAAATGTTTATATCAAATAAAATCCTGGCAAATAGTCCGATTCTTGATTAATGATGATTGAAGATTTATTGAAGATTTACTAACATTATGATAAACAGGGCTATACATTAATTTTAAATTGAAAAAAAGATTTTTTCACATTTTGGTGTTAATTAAGTACACAAGTAAGAAATATAAAAAAATATATAGCCCTTCAAACATGAAGATAAGTACAACCATCTTAGAACTAGTTTACTTAGTAACCCTTGTATTATTACCATAGAGCGTAAAATCATTAATACAGTGTACAGTGTATACTAAACCTATTCACTGTCCAACAGTATTTTTGAGACCAGTTTTAGAAGATTAAAAAGTTCGCCTGCTCCAAAACAACCAAGAAATAATGTTCCTCGTTGATTTGGAGCAGGCAATTACAAATGAATACACGTTTCTACTCTAAACACTGTCCAAACCATTCTTCTGCGCAATAATTAAAAATAATTGATCTGAAGAAAACTGGTTTAAGATCTTCAGTTGGCTTGAACAGTTGATAAAATACAGATTTTAGGATTAAAGTCGCAAATCGGATTTTGATTTGAAGCTTTCCAGATTCAGATTTTAAACAGATCTAGACTTGATTTGGTGTATCCAGAATATTTGATGTTATGTTATCTGGATATATAAATTAGTTGAGACCCCCTGATAAAGGGTTGATGATGGTGTTCTCTGTCTAGTGCTGCAGGTGTTCTAGTTCAAAGAGTTCAGCTTGGCGTTCTGCAGAGGTTCAGTGATAAACAGTTTAGCCAAGGACTGGGAACAAAACTCAGAAACCTAGAAATAATGTTTTGTAGAAACCTTGTAAAAATCTGTAACATTCAATAATTAGGTTTAAAATGTAATTTTCAGTGCTTAGTATCCGATTCCGCTACATTTTGGATTCCTGGATACGGATTTTATAAAATATGCGGATCCAGCGGATTCACGGATCCGGATCCAAGGGAAACAATGTCAACCAAAACTGTAAACAAAACGTTTAGCTCTCAAAACCAGATGCTTTCTTGCCCTCAATACTGTTAAAATAAGGATCCCTCCTGAGCAGTATCCTGGTGGTTGCTTAATACCTGATCCGAAGTGTTAGCGATGGTACCGGAGAGAATAAGAGGGTTCAGTCTGGAAGGAGGTGGAATCGCCTGAACAAATTAGTTTTCTGAATTTTTTAAATATTCAATAAAAGAAAACAATTTTAACTCCTTTATTCCTTCATTTATTGTTTAAAAAAAAACATTTTTTTTGATTATTTTATTACAGTGGTAAACAGTCTTTTTCTTTCTTTTAAATGTTTCGGTTTTATAATTTTTAACAGATTCATTCGAAAAATGTAATTAATGATATTTCCAGTAATAACTCAGTTATAACAGAAACAAATGTGCGCAATCACGTGATCAAAAGAGAGAAGGAAGATAACTTTCATACCAGTGTTAAATGTTAAATACAATATTTAAAACAGGATGCGAACAATGACTTAAAGCTAATCACATTGAATATCAAAAGAAACATATTAAACAAGATCAGAACCCTTTCTTGTGGAACCACAAATGTTATTTAAAGAAAAGCCATTCCCACAATGACTGAAAACTAACTTTAAAAAAAAAACAAGAATTTAAAAGTAGAGATCAGACGAAAAACCCCGAATGTTGGCAAGACGAAACTCAACCCATCATTTGGTAGAAGACTTAAGCCATCCTTGGAAATGTGATTTTATTTGATTTGATAATACAATTCAAGGATTTAATGCAAGGAAAGTTATTTCAGAAGTGTATGCATCTTTTGTACTGCAGTGTACTGTCACCGGGCGGTAATGTAAACACAAGACGGATGTCGAATCCTGACATGGGTTCCATCTTTCACATAAATAATCAATGATATATTCTGGTCATAGGAAAATAATATTTGAATTTTCAAAATTATCAAAATTCAATGCTTTCAACCTCATAGGATACTAAACGAACACTGAGGCATCTTGTTTACAAATTACGCCCAGAGAGAACTGGTTTCAATATGTGCGCTGAGTATACGCAACAGCAATTAACTTTCCTTGCATTACATTCTTGATACAATTGATAAATGAATTTACAAGGAAATGTTAGCAGTCCCTGTCCTATCTGGGTCAAAATTGTGTCCTACCTTGAAGACCTTGTTGATGTCCTCATCAGGGGCTGCGTCTTCTCCCCGAGCAATCCTAGCCTGGTTCTCCAACTGTTTCTTCTGAACCCATCTAAAGAAACATATATTATCTTCTGCACCATCTAGACAAACAAATATTATCTTATGAACCCATCTAGAGAAACATAATTATCTTCTGAACCCATCTAGACAAACAAATATTATCTTCTGAACCATCTAGACAAACAAATTTTATCTTCTGAACCATCTAGACAAACATATATTATTTTCTGAACTCATCTATACAAACAAATAAAATCTTCTGAACCCATCTATACAAACAAATATTATCTTATGAACCCATCTATACAAACAAATATTTTCTTCTGAACCTATCTAGACAAACAAATATTAACTTCTGAACCTATCTTGACAAACAATTATTATCTTCTGAACCCATCTATACAAACAAATATTATCTTCTGAACCCATCTATACAAACAAATATTATCTTCTGAACCCATCTAGACAAACATTATATCTTCTGAACCCATCAAGACAAACATACATTATCTTCTGAACCCATATAGACAAACAAATATTATCTTCTGAACCCATCTAGACAAACATATTATCTTCTGAAACCATCTATACAAACAAATATTATCTTCTGAACCCACATAGACAAACAGATATTATCTTTAAACCAGTGCTTAGGATCCGGATCTGGATCCGGATCCGTTGGATCCGCAAGATTTTGGCTTCCTGGATCCGGATCCAAGGGGTAAAATATCAACCAAAAACTGCAAACAACCTTTTTTACTCCTAAACCCCAAATCTGAACTTTGCGGATCCAGTATTCGGATCCTGGATCAGCATCAAATTAAATGGATCCTAAGCACTGCTTTAAACACATCTATAAAAACATAATTTCATCTTCTTAACCCATCTATATAAACAAATATTATCTTCTGAACCCATTTAAACAAACATATATTATCTTCTGAACACATATATATTAATATTATATATAAACAAATATCTTCTGAACCCATCCAGACAAACATATATTATCTTCTGAACCATCTATCCAAACATATATTATCTTCTGAACCCATCTAGACAAACAAATATTATCTTCTGAATCCATCTAGACAAACAAATTTCATCTTTGGAACGCATCTAGACAAATAAATTTTATCTTCTGAACCCATCTAGACAAATAAATATTATCTTTGGAACCCATCTAGACAAATAAATATTATCTTCTGAATATTACCTGGCCTTCTCCTGGTACTGCTTAAGTACAAGGTTCTGGTGCTTGTTAAACTTAATGGACTCCTGGTTCAACTCGTCCACAGCATCCATCATCACACGGAGCTCGGTCTCCAGGGTTCCTAGAAACAAACGGTAAATAAGAGATAAGTGGTGAACGGGATTGGAATTAATCTCAAATCCAAAATCCAAATTGAATTGAACTGATAAAAAAAAATAATTCTCCAATAAATTATAGTATCCCCCCCCCCGGCCTATCTTCCTTCTTTTAAAAGAAAAAAATGTTATTTCACATTTAGAGGGTATTTTATGGTAGACAATAGGGAATATTTACTATATCTGTGCTGTAGAGAGAGAAGGAGAAGAGAGGGCGAGGGGTTTTGAAGATTAAAAATAAAACTTTAACCAAGATGTGTAAGAGAACCGACTTGAATCCCCCAGACCGCCCTCAGATTGCAGCTTCGTTAACACCTTTTACCCCGGCCCGTATGTTCCTATTATTAAACTACAAACACTAGGAATTCAAATGCAAAACTTTCCACTAATAGTCATAACCAGAAATACCCGGAATTAATTGACAGTAAATTAGACGACTTGACATATTAAACACACAATAAAGGCATCACACATTTTGGAATTGGCAGGAAGACTGGGTATACTTTGTAATCATCTGTTCATTTCATATTGGTAAAATTACATTAAGACGTCCGATTAATCTTAAACTAATTCCGGGTCTTTCTGATTAGTAAAACGGACGTTTTTAGAAGTCCATACCAGTGCTTAGGATGCATTTCATTTTGATGCAGATCCGGATCGAGATCCGGGATCCGCACCAGAAAAAAAATGGATCCGGATCAGAAACAGGTCATGAACATGTCTTTAAGATTTACTGATTTTTTAATATCTCTCTTTTGTTTAAAAGTTCAGATTGATATTGGTTTATATTTTGCCCGTTGGATCCAATTCCGTGGATCCGCATATTTTTGCGGATCCGGATCCAGGAAGTCAAAATCTTACGGATCCTATGCACTACTTCATGTGAAAATAAAATAAGAGTATAAAATATTAAATGAACCTGATGTTCCGAGGTCAAGGAACTGAGCTCCTCCAACATCAAGGGTCAACTGCTCCTGGAGCTCCAGCAACAGGGCGTTCATCAGATGGGAGTTCTTGATTACGATCGGGACCTCGACCATCATTGTCTCATAGCTCAACTTTAAGTCCTAATAGGAAGATGAAAATCAAAGTTATCCCTGCAGAGTATGAACACCACAGGAAATCAGGGATGTATATTTTTCAGGATTACCCCCACCCTGGGGCCAGGGGGGGGGAATAATTTTGATGATTTTGGAGGAAAAATAAAAATTTAAACATCAAAAGTATGTTTTTTTCATTATTTTTCATACTTAATAACAAAAAATCATATATTTTCATCAAAAAATTAATTAATTTTAAATAATTTAGCGAACTTTCGTAAACACAAACATAACTTCTGGGAAAGTAAAGATTATCTAAAGGGGCGGAATGATTTTTTGAGAAAAATACACCCCTGCAGGAAATAAAAGAGGAATCAGATAAATCCGTTGGTCTGTGCAAGATGAACATTTCTTAATCACGAGATTCTCACTACCTTTTGAGTCCGAATTTAATGAATTTGAGCCGCGTCTCAAATTTCCAAAAACCGGTTTCAATTGAGCGCCGGCTTCAATCTTAAAACATTGAATACAATTTTAAGTGGAACCTCTGATTCCATTCCACAAAAAAATTGAATGCAAGAAATGTATTGAAACCCTACCTTAACATATTCTGGAGAGAAGTCCCCTTCCTTGAACATCTTGATTGCTTCGGGGGTCAACCTGAAGGCCTTCAAGGAGATAAATCCCTTCGAGGTCTTTGCAGTGTCTAGGAAAAAAATATGTTAAAAAATAAGTTTTTGTATCTTGTCAAAATTAGAATTGCAAATACAATAAAAATACCAAGAACTATCATAATGTTTATGCCATGAAAAAAAAAGAAAACAATTATGACAACGACATTGTTAAGGACCACGACAATGTAGAAGACTGTTTGACAACAAATTGAAGACAACGAAAATAATAGTTTTATTGATTTTGATGCAGATCCGGTTCCGGATCTTTTTTTGCTGTTTTTTGTTGTTGATGATTTGATCCTTGTATCCGGATCCAGGAAGCCGAATTGTTGCGGATCCAGCTGATTCTAAGCACTGGTTTAAACGATAACAAAGATAACAAGCACAAGTAGAGGGACAAAAAATAAACAAAAAAGGGTAAAAATATTACCAAAAATGAGACAAACTGATTCTTCTATGGAGGTCTGGTAGCAGAACTGGGACTCTAGGAGGGAGGTGGAGAGAAAGTTACCGAACTGTGCTGATTGATACCAACCAACATGCTGATGATCAACATTCACCTGGCGTAACCTAAACAATTTCAGATGATTTGTCGTTCGGAGCCAAAATTACCCATTTCCAGGGGTGTATACTGCAAATACATTATCGAGTACAATGGGTGGCAAGAGAGAAATGGATAAAATATTCATGACGTCACGAGTGTCAAATATAACAAGAAAAACGAAAAAAAACTTTGTCTATCCGAAAAAAGTGATAATTGCTGGCAATTCTCATTTCTTCTTCATAAGTTCATCAGACAAATATTTTAAGGATATCGTTGCCACTTAAGGAAGGTCCCTAGAAATTACGTCTAAACTCTGAAATCCTCTTTACAGTCGATATTCTTATTAGAGGGATGCATAATTTGTTGGAAAACATATCATTCCCGCTCCCCGTAAGATTTTTTAGGAGGTGGGGGAGGGGGGTATTATAAAAAAGAATGAAAAATTTGCCTTTGAATGTACTATTTTTCATTTTTTGTCCCCAGATCATAAAATAATATACACCCCGATTCTTTTTCTTTTAGTATGAAAATATACGAACTAATTAAATCAAAAATACGATAAAAGTTAGATGTAACATTACACAACAACGAGAATCTGCTAGAAGCTAATTCGCGCACTCAAATTTAGAACAATAAACAAATATGCAACAAAATAAATGGAGGTTTAGCATATTGAGGAAAATAATTGGCTAGATGTCAAAATCGTAGTTTTTGCTTTAGGTACTTGGAGAATAACACAAAAAAAACGCAAATCAATTTAAATTTTAAAAATAGGAGAGGGGGGATGTATGATAGATCAAGTGGGATAAATGAGCTAAAATGGGCTGGACAGTGGACATCTTATATTTCAAAATGAACTTGAGAAAAGTAAATAGGAATTAAATTCAGTAAGTTAACTGCTTAAAGCGCTGGTTTAACAAATGAGAGAACCTACCTTCTCATCATGGTGAGTTGGAAGTCCTCGTCGTCCAATGATTCGTCACTAGGACTCGGGAAGGGGAAACAGTGAGTAATCTCAAGCCTGAATAATAATTTATAGGTTATGTTGATCTTCAAATAATTAAGATGCAGATAGAGATTGCAGAAAATTCTACCAATTGGAGAGGCCACAAGACATATGCTGACAGAAAGAAAACCAACCTCCCGCAATCAAATCAGTAATTGAAGGAAATCGTAGAAATTTAAAATTCTTATAAACAAAATACCATCTCTTAAATATTTCGTAACCTAGTTTCAGCAACAAGACCAAGAAGGGCTCCTTGGGCAAACGCACTTCCACTGTTTTCAGCCTTAAAATCAAATATGAAAAATAATACTAAATTGCAAAATAAAATCCTAGCCAATTCACAAACAGTATTTAGAAATATGTGACTTGTCTACTGACGCTTTAATATTTCTTTAAAGTTACAAACAATAACGAACTATTTACGAACACTTAGAGAGTTCATAAATATTTGTACTTTAAATGGCAACCTTTGGGTCTGTCCAAGAGAACGATTTTTGTTCCCTCACTTCCCCGCCCCCCATTCCTATCAATTTTATACATGACCACTTTCTTCACAAAATTATTATTACTTATTTTTTTTTATTAATTTAGGGTAGGGTTAAGACAATTTCTGGGCCGTACGCTGCGACTCGGACAGGCTAGAGGGCCGAGCGCTGAGGCTAGGACAGGCTAGGGGGCCGAGCGCCGCGAATAGGACAGACTAAAGTGCCGGGCGGTGCGGCCACATGATCAATTATATCCATGTGATACATACGAGATGCATGTACAAAATTGGTACGAGGGGCGGGGGGTCCAAAAATAGTTACCCATCTTTTCATATCTGTAACCAAAATTTTAATTATTATTGTTGGATGTAGAAGTGGGAGGGGGGGGGGTTGTTGTTGTTAATAAATCAAAGCTCTTACTTCGTGGCAATGTTTGATCAGCTTCATGAGAACCAATCCATCGATCTGGACAACCTCAATCTTGTTTTCATTCTCAGTATTCTTACGGGATCCTCGATCCGACATTTTCAAGATTCTAGATGTTTAAACTAGCAGGCGACTAAACCACTTCTGAAATAAATAATGTTTTTAAGAAATATATACTTTTTCGATGATTACGAACATTGAGCTCGCATTAGTGCAGAACAAATTCACCATTGCGAAAGATTAAGGAATGTTTTCGGCACGGCCACGAACAGTGAACACGTTTATAGCGTCCATGTCGTCCTCAGGACCAGGATAGATGATAAGTGAGTGGGTTTTGTGTAAATCTGCGAGAATGCCGCACAGTAAGGTCTTTGATGCTATCTCATTTGGACTACTGCCGTTTGAACTATTGTTCATTTCAACTATTGTTCATTTCAACTACTGCACGTGGGACCATGCGTGAGTAGTTTAAATGAACAATAGTTCAAACGAGTAAATATATTGCTCATTTGAACTATTTTTTAGTTCATTTGAACTATTTTCATTTGAACTATTAAAATATTATTAATGAAATAAACAAAAAATAGTTCAAATGAAAAAAAATAGTTCAAATGAATAAAGAATAGTTCAAATGAACATAAAAATAGTTCAAATGGACAAAAATATAGTTCAAATGAACAAAAAAATAGTTCAAATGAACAAAAAAATTATAGTTTAAAAAATGGACAAAAAAATAGTTCAAATGAACAAAAAAATAGTTCAAATGAACAAAAACATAGTTTAATTTGAACTATTTTTTACCTAAGGCCTAACATATTTTTTTTGTCCATTTGAACTATTTTTTAGTCCATTTAAATTATTTTTTTTTCAATTTGAACTATTTCATTTGAACTATTTTCATGTTCATTTGAACTATTTTTATGTTCATTTGAACTATTTTTATGTTCATTCTGTGTAATGTTTATCTAATTAATTGTCATGAATATAACTTTATGGAGATTATAAAAAAAATTTAAAAACTGAATTGGGGTAGAAAAATAGTTCAAATGAGCAAGAAATGCGTTGATTTAAACTACAGGATATGACGTCATGTCAGTAGTTCAAATGAACAATAGTTCAAACGAACAATAGTTCAAACGTACCATAGTTCAAACGGCAGTAGTTCAAATGAGAATCCACCCTTCTATTTTCAATCATTTAGAGATATATCATCTGAACTAAGTTCTTGCTGATGGCCAATTAACAATTAGTTGAAGAATGAAGAACAATGTCAAAGTTTTAACTATCAACCAACACTGTGCCCCCCCCTTTAAAAATCCCTTTTTTGAAAAAATATTTATACCTTTTTTTTAGCTATCTAAACTATTTAAACATATATACACACTTTCGTAATAACCTAGATTTATTTAATTTTCTTAAGTGGACTCATCAGACACTTCCTCTTAATTCTGTGGTGTAAGCTTCACTGGGTGAATTAAATAAAGATGGAAACGATTCCTAAAAAATATTAATATTTTCATAGAAACGATACACAGTTTAGTGTATAATTATAAATAATGATATCAAATATATGTTCGCACCGAAGACAGTATTGATTAAAGATTTGTTATGAAACTTTTATATTTAAGGGCAAAAGTGAGATTTTCAAGTATTTTTTATGTGGGTGCCCCCCTCCTGGTGCTATCTCATTTGAACTACTGCCGTTTGAACTATTGTTCATTTGAACTATAGTTCATTTCAACTACTGCACGTGGGACCACGTGAGTAGTTGAAATGAACAATAGTTCAAACGAGTAAATATATTACTCACTCATTTGAACTATTTTTCTTCCAATTCATTTTTTAAATTTTTTTATAATTATGAAGTTAGGGACCATACAATTAATTAGTTAACACAGAAATTTTTCAAATGAACATAAAAATAGTTTAAATTAACCAAAAAATATTTCATATGAACATAAAAATAGTTCAAATGAACATAAAATAGTTCAAATAAACATAAAGATAGTTCAAAGGAATTTTTTTTTCAAAAATTGGTTAAATGAACAAAGGGGTCTGTCTTAGAGAACGATTTTTGGACCCCCC